AAAAAAAAAAAAAAAAAAAAAAAAAAAACTCTTGAATTAAACTTAAATTCACCAATGGTATTCCCTGTTTAACACTCCACCGCGAATGTGATCGAATATGTTGATAGCGCGTAGACATACCATAAATGCACGTTGCGTGCACGTAATGAAGGCGAGCGCACGCCACACTAATCTACGTAAAAGTTATTTCATATACGCACAATCGATGATGCTTTTCAAACAATGATGCGACTCGTTTCGAGGGCAGAGAGTTAAATCGAAATAGGATGATGGGTAAGGATCGTTGCATTCCCTCGTGTGCCTGTTCCTCAAGTTGGTGTTGCATTGGTAACACCACAACTTCTCTCCTTTCCCGTACTCTGTCAAATTCGAATCGATGTCTTTATATCTTCGATCGATTGGACGAAGCGAATGATTGTCGAGAGAAAAAAAAAAATTTGTAATACGACAACGTTACTTTTTTACTTTCTGTAATGTAAATATTACAACGCTTATTTGATTAACGACGATGCTATTTCGCGATGAACGAAATTTGGAAAATTCTAAATTTCTTTTCTGCACTTTTGGATGAAAGTAATAAAAGTTACTGCTTACCTAAATTCACGAGAACGATTATCGTCATCGAGATTGCTAGTCCAGCCATGTCGGTTCCACCTCTGCATACGTTCAAAATCTTTTTATTACTTGTTATCTTATCTCTGGCGATAAAAATAAGGATCATATAGATTCTGAAAATGTGAACTAGAGTAGGGAGCATAGATGTGCGGCGTAAAATTTGTTAGAATTTGTAAAAATGTATAAATTAATCCTTTCGATCATATATATATATATATATTTTAATTCCTCTGTTTTAGAATTAAAGATGTTACATAAACATTACACTAAAAAGTACAGTAAGTGTTTTTTCGAAACCGAAACTACATAAATATATCGCTCGCATCTTGATAAAAAAAACATAGAGTCAATTGTTGAAACTAGATTAACCATCGATATTTACAAAGAAGATAAGAAATTCATATACACATAGCGAAAATGTCAAAATTTTCTCTCTGCATAATCTAAAATTATTCGACGATTATTAATCTCGATTATTAATCGCGTATATACAGAGTATTAAAATTCGTATCTTTTGAGAAATTTTAACGATACACATATATTTTATTGCTCGTAATAATTCTCCTGCGATGATATATATATATTCGATCTTGTCAAGCAACCACTGTGAGTGGTATTCCTCGATATAAACACTGGCCAAAATTTCACATAAGCCCCTTAATTCGTATAATATATAGCTATATAATGTATTTACTTATTTATAAGTTCGTGCTCAAATATGCAATTATAAATACAATATTCGAATTTTTATAAGGAACACGCGTTACAGGCGATGGAATCGTGGAATCGATTACCATAACGTTCTACATTGTTTTAATTTTCAAATTTGATATATAAAATTTGCTAATTGATTCGTTATTTTTGAAACGTAGAAAATGGAAATTTCTTGTTCTTGGAATTGTATCAAAATTACACGTATCGAAATAACGATTTACGAAACGAATTTAATCGGAAAAAAAATTTTATTTCAAATTCGAATAATCAATAGCAATAGATTTTCTCGCTTGTTTTTCAACAAATATTACTCTAATCTGATCTTTTTCGAAGATATAAATAAGAATTGTATAAAATAATATCTAATGCAAAAAAAAATAAATAAATAATTTAACTCAGAGATCTATTATATATAACAAATTTTTTAATCGATTTTCTTTCATGTCGCAAATATATCCGTTATCACGATTCGAAACGCATTGTGAAACGACGTGGAATATCAATGAACAATGTGATGCTTATACATGCGTATATGTGTGTGTTTTTTAGAATATGCTAAATGGAATCGTAACTCGACAGGATAATCGAAATCGATTCTTTCAACTTGGATAATTTATAAAGGTTACGCGGTCTTGTAAAAAGAAGCGAAAGCTATTGCACCAATGGTGGACAACAGTGGGAGCAGAATCCTTGGCGAAACAGAAATGGAACCGTTACAAGCGTCCTGTTGGCATAAGTCGCAACTTTTCAGATCATGAATATTGTTGATGACTTTGCTTTTGATCGCTTTGCACGGATCGATAGTCTCCATCTTCGCTGTCTGGCAAGTCCTCACTGTCACGTCTCGATTGTTAACTGATGAACACAGGTTAATTGATAAATTCGATCGTTTATGGATAAATGAACACAATATAAAATATAACAAAAAAGAAAAATAATAGAGACAGAAATACAAGATGTCCCAAAAATGTTGAGACATTCATAAATTGAGATTCACACTTTCTTTTCCGAAAACTTTCGTCGAGTTATTAACAGAAAACACTAGCCACGAAACACGTAATAGAGACATGACAGTAGCATTGGCTACAAGTTGCCGATCGAGCACGAACAAATCCAAGCAATATATTTCGAAGAAAGTGTGAATATTTATATTTATTTATTCATTCATTGTTTGCAATATAATTCGATATTTTTTATCGATAAAAAAATATTTGTTACATTCAACGCACTTTTTTAAAGATATGTTGCTTGGATTTATTCGTGCTCGATCGTAACCAATTATTAGCTATAATTCGGCGTTTCAACTAGGCTACGCGCTTCATGATTGGCTAGTGTTTTTTTGTTAATAACTCGATATTGGATGTTCCAATATCTTTAAGAGACTCCTCTATAAAATAGGATAAGATATAAAAATATTTAGAAAAAAGATTGATGAATTATTTGAATTATATAATGAAAATATATCAAATGAAAATATGAAATATGAAATAATAAGTTCATTTTTTTTTTTTCTAAATTTGAAACTTCGGAAATATAATTTTTTTTCTATAAAATATGAGATTATATAGATTAGATAATATAAGAGAATATAAAAGTAAAAATATACCTGAAATAAAAATGTAAAATATAGTACGAAATAATAAATAAAATTCATTGATTTTTTTTTAAATTTTATAAATTAAAATTCACGATTCGTACCGTTAAAAATCATTTTAGCGCATGCCATTGGAGCGGATGCTTGATAATACTGTGATTTGTCGACTTCGAAAATGACGGATATCTTATTTAAATCGTTGTGCTGTTGAACCTTTTCTTTAAACGAGTCCATGTTATTCAAAGTGCATTCTTTGATATCCTCTGTGCTCAGATCCGTGTCGCAGCTAGGGTCCGTTAACGAAGT